ACAGAGGGGCGGAATTCCTAGCCGACGAGGTTCAGAGCGTGTTTAGGAGAGCCGGTGCGAGAGTTTCGATAGCCACCGCCTATCACTCACAGTCGAACTCCCCAGTAGAGAAGGGACACCAGACTCTGATAGCGTCACTGTCCAAGTGGTGCAAGGGTAAGGACAGTGATTGACCACGATATTTTCGATACGCGATATGGGCGGACAACGTCACGGTCCGGGCTAGTACCGGATACCCACCGTACACCTTGTGGTTTGGACGACATTGTCCGTTTCCCATAGAATTTCACGTCGATAGCTGGACAACCATCGACTGGGCGGAAGAGATGTCCAGAGAGAAACTCTTAGCTGCCCGAATGAGACAAATAACCTACGGTTTGGAAGATGACYTCATGACAGCGGCAGATCGTCTGGTAGTGGAAAGGGAGAAGGGTAAAGAGAGATGGGATAAGAACGTGCGAATCAGGAAAGAGAGGGTGAGCGTAGGAGATATGGTCCATCTCTACGATGCAGCGCTGGAAAGGACCTGAACCGGAAAGCTTTCCAATAGATAGATGGGACCTTACAGAGTGGTTGAGGCACTTGACTGGGGTGCATATATGATAGCAGAACTAGACGGATCTAAGTGGAAGGACCCAGTGGTGAGGGCTAGGTTAAAGCTGTTTAGGCCCAGGCCCACGCCCGCTTTATCGCTAACCAGCCCGAAAGGGAAAGGGAAAGTCATGATGGAGGATGGAGCGCCCTTGAGGCAATTCGAGGCAGGAGAGAGTTCCAAGAAAAGGAAAAGAATAGAGAAGAGAAAGGTCAAAGGGGTAGCTTTAGGAAGAAAGAAGAGATGGTTATTCGTTCTCAAGCGAGCTAGACGGAGAGTTCGCGTTAGACGTACTGGCGGGTCGACACCCTTCTCGGGGCAAAGACAGAAGAAAAAGAGGATCGTGCCGGGACCAAAAACCAGAAGAAACAGGAGAGTCAAGAAGCATCTTCTTAGCCCCAGGACTTTAACAAACTGAAACATTAGACAATTGAACGCCGACGTGGGCGTCCTTTACGGGCTATCACCCTAAAGCTCGTCCGCTTCGTCTGACATAAGTTGCTAGGGGCTCGACGGGGGCGTCGAGAAGTGGTCCGGGCTAACTGTCAGGCGGCCACAAGCAGTGCGCCGCCTGAGATACGCAGTTTTTGGACTTAGGCTCAGGGACAAATTCGCGTTTTGATGGTAGTCTCGTATGACCAGGCAGCAAAAATTAGGGGAACTCAGGGCACCCCTGATTTTGGGTGCACTGAGCCTTATGAGTAACCCTCAAAGATGGCGAGATGGGTGACCGAACTCGGCATGTCTAGGGACTGTCATTTGCGACCGTTCAGAGGGTTAGACCCGGATTGACCTGCCGCGGAGAGGCATCAAGGGAGTTGACCTCGCCGCAACGTTTTTGCAGCATACGACCGGGGCGAAATGGGGCCTCAAATTTTTGTCTATTTTAGTACCGTAATTAAAGATGGGAAGAGGGGTTAAGACCAGTAGGGGAGAAGGGAAAAACATAATATCCCTTAATTTCTTTATTTTTCACAGCATTTAATTCTAGGGGGAATACCCTTGTTATTTTATTTTCTCGACAATT